TTTTTCTGCAACTGTGCCCTGTACAGGTGCTCTGTATTTATGAAATTGGCCCTGTTTTCTGTTTGTACCAATGTATTGCAGGCAGAGATGTTGATAATCAAAACATATAAGACAGTCACAACATGTGACGTGTATTTGAAGAGCAGCTATTATGTGTGCTCTACACACTACATGTGCTCTACACTCTCAGAAAAAAAGGTAGTGAACTATCACTGGGGCAGTACCCCTCTTGTCACTGTGGTGGTACTCTCAAAGGTACATCTCAGTATCTTTAATCAGGAAACATAACTATACCATAAACCCTTGAAATTATATTTTCTAAGTTGTACTGACTCCATACACCCCGTCTCGTCTCTAGGTTTTTTATTTTATTGTTCTGTTTTAAAACATTAGGTAAGGAAAACATACACATATGTACTTTTCCACTGGGAAAAACATATTTAAGGTACACAATTGGACCCTAAAACCACTGTTGTACCTTTGAGGGTACATTTACATTGTTTGTACCTTGATTAATGAGAAATGTATCTGCACAGAACCTTTATTTCTAACAGTGTACACAAATTCCATGTGTGCTCTACACACATCTTCCCTGATTCTCTACCAGCAGGTTTACCAGCATACACCTGCATGTTTCAGACTTAACTGGTCCAGGCAGTGCATACTGTCCAGATTTTCATGATTTGCCTGGGTTTTTTGGCATGTATTGTTTGAAAGGACAGGGCTCTTTGAAAGGGGCATAAATTGGCAGCAGATGCTAAACCCAATTTATCAGACATCTCTAATTGTGGCGAGTTTGTCTCATTGATGTCAGGCAAGTCTCATGTCTTAATTATCTGACATCTGAAACCTGATGGTGTGAAAACCTGTTGAACCACACTGTGTGCCATCTTGTTAGCAGATGGTGGAATATGAGCACTAACCTATGAAAGATGTTTACGACTGTGAGTGTACAAAGCTTGTGTTTGTACAAATAGTGAATTTTGCATCTTTATTCTAGTCTAAACCGATTTATTTCCTATGATCAGATTTGAACAGAAATGTAACCGTTAGAATAAACAGCTCTAAAAAAGGATTCTACCTATTTGTCAAAATCTCTGCATATTTATGTAGTTAAGATGTCAACAAAGTTATTCAGAGTGGTTTGATGTGAAATGTTCCATTTAGAGAAACTTACAGAGTCAAAAATGTTCACAGTGGTGGTGATAGGAACTAATATTTGAAGGGTTTAATCTCTAAAAGCTCCCTCACAGAAAGTTAAAGCTGCACTTTGTAAGTTTGGCAAATTTGGTGAATTGCCAACCTTTGTGGTGGAAATATGTAACTGCACAAAACATGTGGAAGAACATTTTGTGACATTGGTTGTGCTGCAGTCCCCTTCCTCAAACTAATATTACTGTTCATATGACAGCTGTGTCGCACATGTATTTATTAGTTATATAAGCCTCCATATAAGCCAAGTATATTTTATATTGAATGTGTTTACAAAAGCAGACAAATGGTAGCACCCTGGTTTGTGGAACAATAGAGGACAAACTTTGAAGCAAAAAAGACCCGTTAGTGAATATTAGTGAATTAGTCAGCTTTGTAGCTATACAGCTAAAATGACTTTATCATTACAAGGGTACATTTCATCACATTACAAGCGTAACAAGTTCCACAGAAGTAATAATCTGGCTGGCCATTTTTGGTAGCAAGCTACCAAACAAACAACATGACCTACCTGTCCAGCAATAATAAAGCCAATTTAGTATCACCTGAGTCACTTTGAATATATATTTTAAGCTCTAAAGGAAGAATCACAGCAGTGCAAGAACCATATTTTACCAGATATATTTTTTCCTTCTTGACTCAGCAATGTGAATTCTTTCAAATTGAACAAACTGATCTTACATAGTGCAGCTTTAATGTTAAATTATTAAAATGATAAATTTCACATTAAAATCCATTAATGACATGCAGGGCATAAGAAAGAAAGGGCAAAAGAAAGAAAGCATATTTTTTTTAGATTTACCACTATTTTACCATTATTAATGTTACACATAAAAACTCAGAATGCATGTGAATGCATTTGGATAAGATGGCTATATGTTGTAGACATCATGACACCACTGGAAAGAAATCGGTCAGTAAGCTTCTCTTGAACAAACCATTTCACATGAAAGACTGGTATTTAACATTAACTTTGTGCATCCTAGTGCCTAGTCTGGAGAAAGTCATCAAGTCTTATTGCATTTAAATGAAAGAAATCATATGTAGGAGAGAGAGTATGGTAAGTTTAGCAAAAGTGGGATCGCATGCACTTGACAGTACATCCATTAGTATTCAGAAGTTTGGCATCACTGTGCGTAATTATAATAAATGTATGAAATGATAATGAGATGGTGATACTACTTTACAACTTCACCGATTTCAATTAACTGTAGGAAGCAGTCAAAAAATGAAGAAATAGAGATGATCCAGAATGATGAGCAAAGCTGTAGATAATTCCACAAAGACTGAGAATGATGGAGCTGTATAACATTGATAATGAAGGAAATTAACATTCAGAATGCCCTATATTTGAAACACAGTCCAAATCTGTGGCAGATATCAATAAATTACTGTATAAAATATTACATTATATTGTTTATCATTTACCCCGTGACCCAGAAGGATAAGCGGTTTAGAAGGTGTGTGTGTTTATCATTTAATAATTTCCCAGAATTCTTGACATTTTTAATAAAACATTTTAGAATGTCATCTGGTGTCTGGCTTTTAGTATTTCAGTCTAAAACTGAAAAAAAGAAAGGGAATATTCATTTAAGAAGTCATTATAAATGTTTGAATACTTGTGTAGGTGCTGTATTTAACAAAGTGGGTTTTAAGTACTGTCCAATTGCTGAATGTACTAGATAAAGTGAGACAGTTTTCAAGTAAAGTGGGACACTATTTAAAGCCATTGTGGTTTATTATGTTAATGCATTAGCAAGCTTTTAGCAACTGAAATGTAACGTAAACTGTTCCACTTTACCTGAAAAATTGAAAAAAGTGCATATCTCAGTTCTATCCAGTTCACACTATATTCAATCCACTTCTGACACATCCACATTTAGGTGGCTGGTGTAACATTTTGCTGAGCTCATGAGAAAAAAATCAGAACTTCATTCAAATGACATATGAATTATCCATGAAACATATTAACCAAAGAATAATGTGAAAACAGTGTGGAACAAAATGAATTACAGCTGAGTTTTTCCCATGTGCCTTATCAAGATGTATTTTGAATGTATCGTCAATCTGTTCTTAATGTATTCTGAATGTGTTTTGAAAGTATTCTAAATATATTCTATAGGCATTCTGAATATATTCTAAATGTATTCATTCATACAGTTAGTTTGTCATCCTTACACAACAAAGCAACAGGCAAAACAAAACTGTACAGACTTTTCATACTTCTAAACTGAGATATAATCCTCAAATACACATCACAAGTCAAATCTTTGTAAAGTCATATTTGGCGCAGAAAAAATGTGATTTGAAAATTTAAACAAACAAGGAAACCAATCAGAAGTTAAAAACAAATCAAAACTGAAACTATTTGGGCTAATTATTTGTGGGAAAATCAGTGTTGAAGAGATCACCTTTTTGCTGTTTCTTGTTGGCTTTATTGTGGTCAAGCATGAAACTGACTGAACATAATCTTAACGTAATCTTATACAGTTTTCTTATATTGTAAGTACAAATGATAGATTTTTCAGGAGATATTTCTGAGAAGATCAGATATAAGATAATCCAACTGTGTAAAGAAGGTGAAAGCTAAAGGAAAATAAAAACAGGAGTTTCCAAAACTGGAGTCTAAAAACAACCATACAAGACCTGGTAGACCACCAAAACTTTGACCAACAGATAAACAGTGCCTAAAATTTTCATGCTTGAAAGGAGAAAATCAAGCTGAATGCGTTTGGGATAAATCTGATTGTGAGAAGAAGAAAATGCAACCAACTGTAAAAGCTGAAAGCAACTGAAAACAGAAAAAAATGGTATTACGTTTAGTTGTTGAGGCTTCTGCATAATTTTCTGTTAAATATGTTTTCTGTTTTTTGGGCCAGTGATAAATAACTTTTTGACTGGAAATGAAATAAATGAAGGGTGATTTCTGACTTTTGCACAGTACAGTAAGTTTACAATCATCTTCTAAAGTAAGGGGATTTTTGAAGAAACTCAACAATGTTGAATTTGGGGAAGTCAACATTAGGAAAAATCAAAAGTGAAACTATCTTCTAATACTGGAATGACACAGATTATAGTGTATTGTAATACAAAAAGTATAATTTCGCTGTCCAAAGATATATCTCCATTTCATGTATCTCTATTTATTTTTTTTTTACTTTTCTACATGAGTTGATCAGGGCAGTTATCCTTTACATTGTGTAAAAATTTCATTAGGACTGCGCCAATAGAAATGCTCCAAATCTTTTTGAAAAAAACATTCTTTACATTAACTTACATTGAAAGTAAAGAATGTTTTTGTCCTCTCCTATAATGGCACAATTTTGGAAATATTTGTTTTTCTATGGACAGCAACGATAAATGAGATAAAGTAGCAGTAAATTAGTGTATTTATGTTGGGTGGGGTGTCCTTTGTCTTCTTTCGAATGAGCAAACACTGCACCAACAAGGTTGAAACTTCCTTTGGATCTCAAATGTCCTGCACTTTGGTGTCAGACCTGTTTGTTTATGATCAAATAAACCAATGAAAACACAGCCATGTTGTTCAGCACTATCAGTCAGTTAGGATCCAGTCAGTGCTTTTCCTCCTCCCAACACACCTGAGCGCAGTCTCAGAAAATACTGGCTGAAGGTCTTCAAGAGTTTGGTTGACACCAGCTGAACATAGTCCACTGCAGCACACAGATAACAGCTGCTTATCAGTGATCAGACGTGTTGATATGCATTGCACCGTGTTCAAAGTACAGCAGGTAGTCATGCTGCTTGTATAAGGAAAACAGCTTTAATGGCCTGCCCTCTGACTGTAACATGAGAAAGAACAGGGTGTGGTGTGTCTACGTTTCACAGCTAAACTGCACTGCGAAGCTGAGTCACGTCACACTTTTTCACTGCTTTACAGCAGCCACAAAGGCAACACCAGGTAAATGAAAATCTTTACTTTCAATAACTGACTTTTCTGCTGATCTACATCCCTCAGATGAAGCACTTGGTCCTCAGTATGTCCCTTTTTATTTAGTGTAGGTTTTTAGTGGCTTTTTATCGTTTAAATTTTGACTAAATGATCCCTGTGAGCCTTTTGTGAGAACTGAATCCTATTGTGAGTCAGTTGACGCCTTTGGCACCATTGCTGTTCCTGTTCTTCCTGAAATGTACACTCAGGAACCCTAGGCCAGTCGAGTCTTTTTTAATTTTTAAGAAATGGAATGAAAATTTGAATGAAGTACTTAAAAAATCGTCTTTTACAGAATTCCAGCATGAAAATGGATAATACAGTAGTTTACAAAAATACATAACCATTTATGACTAGACTTTTTTTTCAGTCCACCTCCCCTTTCCTACATAAGGATGTTTTCTTTTTCATTCTTTCCTCACATTTCTTTATTTCCTCTTTTTCCGATTTTTTGGCCGTTTCTGACATGTACGATGATGAATATGACAATGATAAAGATAAACATTGTTGCCGTCGCGCGAAACCTGCTCTTTCCACTTTTGTTGTTTTTCAACAGTTGCTGTTTGCGTGTGTTAAAATTTTACAATGAGCAGATCTGTAGACCCATAGACCTAATGATCTAAAATTACTTGGGAGAGAATCTTGTTACACGTTAAAACTGTTTTGTTTCCTACTCCTGTAAACCCTGAGAAACAAATCTTTTTGTCCATATGGGCAATAGCGCACCATACTATTTACGTTAAATTTATTAAATAAATAAATAAATAAATAAATAAAGAAATAGATACATTGTTGTATGCAAAAGTTTGAAAATAAGGTAACACGTCCACTACATGAAACTAACTGAAATTTTGCATTTTTCTGCATTTACATTTACAGCATTTAGCAGATGCTTTTATCCAGAGCAACTTACAAAAGTGCTTTGTTGTCTACTCAGAGTTTCTTTGTTAGTTACAAATATGTTAGAGAGAAAGCCAGTCCTGAGCTCAGATACTGCTAGAAACAAAAGCCCATGTTGATACCTAGAGAAAAATGAACAGAATTAAACATTGCGCATTGCAATACAATCCAATTTCAATAAGTGCAGTACAATCCATTACAATAAATCTTTAACTGCAAATTTTGAGTTAGAAACATATTAGAAAAAATAAAACGTAAAAGATAAAATGTGCCATAACTTTTAGATATATATGATTTTAAAATGGTCCTAAACTGCCTTTTCCCTCTTTTAACAGCTCAGCTTTAGCTCAGCTGGTGTGAGACGTGCTTTCATCAAAGTGCAAGTTTGTAGTTTTTACACACTTTCACTTTGCTGAACGCACGTCTTTACACACAGCTGAGGATGAAGATGACAGACACTTCAGCAGAGACTGAAAAGAAGTAAGTACAACTTTATTTATTTTTTTATTGTTGGAGAAGTTTGTTTACTTTATTTATTTTAAATATTCTAATAATATTTTAATGACTATTGCATCCTGTTTTTACATATTTTTCCATTACCACAAGTGCAGTCAATCAGCCAAAATGTTTATTGGTATCTGAAGTTTGCGTCTTTGCAAGCTGCAGTAATAATGTGGCTGAATATTAATGACAGTATATTTAACATAAGCTTCAGTTATAATAGTCTTGTAGCTCCAGCCCAAAACTAAAAATGCCAACTTCAGATACCAATGTTTGGTATAATGGGGGAAATTATTTAACTAATCATTTAATTACACTCAGTACAATCTTCATTCTAAAAGTATTTATAAAGCAAAAACTACAAAGGTAAAAAACTATTTGTTTACCTGTTTGTTTACTTTTTTATTTTGTCTCTGACCTATTAGTCACCAAGTTAAATCAGCATTAACTGGTGCCTACAAAGAAGGTATGTAAAGAACATACATTTATATTCATTCTTCTTTTTTAGGAAAAAAAGAAGTTTTTGTGCTTCTTTTTGCCTTATTTTCTCTTAACTTGAATGGCATGTAACATTACTGTTGCTCTAATTTAATATTATATTTATTAAATACTATCCAATACTAGTTATTCCATATTATTTATATTATTATTTTCACTGATGGCAAGGTTCAAAGATTTTTGCTTAAAAAAAAAAAGAACTTTTCAGTGGAGTGTTCCTTTAAAGAACCTTGATAAGACGTGTGGCATTTTAAGGACTTCCACATATTGTAATAGGTTACATGTTAATTAAAAGACTTTCCTAGAACCACGACTCTAAGCCAAGAACCACTGAGGAACCTTTATTTTTAAGAATGTATGTAAAACATTGCATCAGTCAGATCAGCTCAATTTACTTAGCCTTTCGTTTATATTTCTTTTTTTATAGATGGCTGTGTGGATTTTGCTAAAGCTGCCAGTGTTGTAAAAAGTCATTCTGGTACTCTGATTCCTCTTCTGAAACCGAAGAGCTATCATATGAGAGTGTGCGGGCAGGACGACACAGTTTACGCTGGAAATGAAGATCAGCTGGAAGCCTGGGAAGATCACTACCTGCCAGAGAGGATGGCGATGGAGGTGATCGGTGCGATTGATGACTTCCCATGTGAGGCATTTGATCGCCAGTTGGTCCTCTTGCTGTGTGAAGATGGAAACATCTACGCCTATGAAGATGAAGTTCTGCACCTCGTAGCGAGAAGTTTAAGAGAGCTGTTTGAAAGTGGGATGACCTTTCCTGGAACAGAGTCCTTCAACCTCGGCGAATGCTTTGAGGATTATGTAAGTCGTTATATTTTCCTACAAAGTGGTGAGGAGCTGCTCTGCTCCTGCAGTGAGAATAAATCTCTGCTACCTAGACCAGTGGTTCTCAACCCTGGTCCTGGACCACCCCCTGTCGTACATACTTTATTGTTTTCTGTGCTCCAACACCCTAATCCAGTCATCAGTTAACTAACAGGCCATCTTGAGTTGAAGTAGGTATGCTTGAGTGGTGAAAACACTAAAATGTGAAGGAGGAAGGAGGTTCTTCAGGACTAGGGTTGGGAACCAATGCTCTCGACTCTTAAACTTACCTGTTGTGTTTCTCAGACGGAAGAAGAATACAACGAAATGATGGAATGTGATGAAATTAAGGAAATGAGAGAGGAGCACAAGAAGTTCAGAGAGTCTTTGGAGCTTGAGCTGCTGGAGTCCCTATGTGAGCTTAAAAATAGTCAAATGAAGGTACTGTTTAATTGCATAGTACTATCAGAGAGAGAGTTTTACACTTTTTAAATTATTTCAGTTGTTCAACTCTGTTTTTCTGTCTTAAACTGATTTTTCAGGCAGAAAAGGAATTAGAGGAAAGGACAGTATGGTCCAGGAAAACATCAGACAGCTTTACCCCCATCATACAAGACTGCTGGGACCTTGTTCCTTGGCAGCCCCTGCCAGTTGTTCACTGAACAACATCTTACGCATGATCTTACTCATGTTCACACACATGTCACAATCATAGCCATTATAACTGTAAGGTGGCATGTACAGGCTTCTAAATGGTTTAGTATCTTTAGCATCCTGTTGCATACTCTATATACAGGGCTGTACTGTAGTGCGCATCTGTACCTATAGCAATATTTCAGCAAAAAATCAAAAGCTCTCTTTGGATTGAACGAAAGTTACCATCGTACGATTTTCATTATGAGACGTAAATCATGTTTTTTATTAACAAGAGATCCATTTGCTTCCTTTGTTGATTAGTCAGTACATGATTGCTGTCTGAAGTTTCTATGGTTTTGCACTGGGGCTATAAGGCTAATATTGCTAACAAGTAAAGGACGCTTATACCCCACCAATTAGCACTGTACAGAAGCCAAGCCTAAGTCGTTACACTCTCTAGAGCAATATCAGGTTAAGTAAAGCAATCATGCAGACTTGCTTATGTGGTTTCTGACATTATATGATGTATTGCTATCTATGAACATGTGTAGAAGTAAAGGCTTCAAAAAGGCCACTGTGTTTGTTGCAATGTAATTTTGCCCATTTTAACATAACAGTATATCATACAATGTCAGATACCACTTAAGCAAGTTTTTTGAGATTTCTTAACTTGACACAGTTTGACGGAAGTGTGATGGCCTAGGCATACAGTTTACACAGTGCTAATTGTGTTGGTATAACCTTGTGGTATTTGTTAGCTACATTAGCCTAATAGTTCCATTGTGAGATTAAAGAAGCAAACATGTTTTGGCTGTATCATTTGGTGTAAGAGGAAAGAGGAAAATTAGAAGAAATAGCTCATAATTTTGAATTTTATATTTCAAAATCAAGAGCTTCATTCAATTCAAGCAGAGCACTTTTTCTTGAACTGTCCACATATTTATTTCTTGGGATAAGTTCTTCAGCTCCTTTTGATTAGTTTTTAATTTTAAAGACTAAAGATGGGTTCTGATTCAACATTCTGCTTTATTTCAGTGAAACTAGATATTGCAGTGTGTATATTGATGATTGTTGGGTTCTTTCTCTTATATGACTACTTTCCATTGTATTTTAATTGATTGTAGTTCACACTTTTACTTAAAACCCACAGACAACATATTGCAAATGAAAAAACAAACACATCACATTGGGAAAAGATTCATCCTTATTCTTAGGTTGATTTTTAAATGAATTCCCCAATTGACTTGAACAGATCCCACATTCTTAACCTGATCTGAAGAGTGTGGAGTTGCCTGTTGCGCAAGGTTCGGCCCACCAAGGATCATTCCACACAGCAAAGGTTGGTGATTCTTACACATCATCTGCACTACAAGACTGTGTTCAGCCATCAGTTCAACACATGGATAAAAGACATCGTCATTGTGCTGTTCCTTTACACCACAGCCTTCTGGAGGGACATCAAGTTTCAGTCAACTACGAGCGTGCGCCTTAAACACTGAGGATAGCGTGCATCACCAAAGGTCGTCCACTGGGACTACAAGGATTGTGGGTTAAAATGGGTTATATATATTGCAATTGTTACAGGCTAAACTTCAGTGAGCTTCTCATTTACAATGGAAACCCATTTTTAAAAAAAGCAAATTCAGCCTCAGCGTATGGAAATCATCATATCTCAGGACTGTGCAGTGTCACGGTTCTCTCGGCCAGTGGACAGTGCCATGGTCTGGCTGAAAAAACTGCAGTCCAGTCACTAAAACTTCTCACAACGAGAGAGGCCAACCACTGTGACCATACACATGCGAAAGTAAGAGCTATAGCTAGATTAATGTCCATTACCACCATTACTAGATCTTTACTTTGCCGCAGTTAGTGAGGCAGTGTTCTGTAAAAAGCATTTTTTAAATGTAAAAAGGTAATGTAAACATTAAAAAACTGCCTTCTGCAGAACAGTGCCTCACTAACTGCAGCATAGTAAAGATCTGGTGATGTGGTGATAAATATTAATCTAGCTGTAAGTCTTACCTTGTTGCTGGTGCAGGTAGGCACTGTTCAGTGAAAAGCAGTTTTTAATATAACTTTAAATAGTTCATTTACATGGAAATGTGCAATAAAATCACTGAGTTTTCAAGCAGAATGTGACGTATTCGCCTCTTGTTGATTGTGGAAAAACAACTCCTTGGAGAAATTATAAACGGCTTAATTAATCTGAATTGCATATTTGTAGCCTAACATTTTATATTGCAGGAACTATCGTTTGTACTACTCATCTATCACACCAGCAGCCATGATGTGGGCCTGGATCTCCAGTGGTAGGTTGTTTGTGTGAATGAGGCGTCATCATTTGCTGACATGTATAAGACACAAACATCTACTAATAAATGTTTTTCAAAGTTAAATATAATCATTCAAAGTTTTTGCAGTGTATGAGAAACACGTATTGTAAAATAAAATGCTATTTTTATATGGATGTATATAGACAGTATGGTGCAAAATTCCTGGAATATGTTCACAGTATGTCAAAATAAAAAGTAACACGAATTTCACATTTTGAAACACATAGTTTGCCGGGCATGGTTTGGTTCCAGACTCTGTCATTCAAAATGGAGTAAAACTCCTTTTTCTTTTTATTCAGTGTTTTGATTGGAATATAAAAAAACACATTAGTAGGTCTAACTTTGATAACAAGGTGTGTCCAGGCAGTGACAATCTCATCTGTCACAGGTTCAGTGTGATGTGGCTGTGCAGTGTTATTTGGCAATTTGGCACAAAATATAAATACGCATCCTGAAGTGGAATATCTGTAAGAGCAGAATGTAACTGAAACAAAGAAGTGTGAGTCCTTTACCTGAAGAAAAAAATCAAATTAGCACATCCATTTGACACCGATCTTGTGGAATGACTCATCTGTTTGAGTAACCACCACAAGATCAGTCCTCAAAGATGTTCATATTCCATGTCCATGTTGCAGTCCCCATTGGCTCAAGGTTACCATGTTCCAATGAAGTATAGCAACAACATTGTTACAGATCCTGCATGATTGATGAAAACACCAAGAGGCTGTTCAGTCCTAAGACTATTTGCCTAATGTTTGTGTAAACATATACACATATGAATTTCATAATTGACAAAGATAGGCATACACCTATAATACAGAACAGAACTGGTATAGAAATGCACTCCTTGGTGGAAATAATCTTGACTAACCCTAAATGCATTTTTACAAGGTCATTTTGTAATATACATATACATACAATGCATAAAAGTCTTAGACAGTCTGAGGAAATGATGTGTGAAGCTTTTTATCTGGTCATTAAATGTTTAAAAAAATAACATTACAATAAATACAAATAAACAATGCAATGTATCAGTGTGTTAGCTAAACCATTTCTAGAGCTCTCCTCCAGAAAGCTCAGTATTCACAGTTACTATCCAGTACCTGCTTTAGCTAAACAAACCTTCATTCAATTAAATCAGGATAATAAATCCATACAATGGCATGCTGGCATTCTTCTAACTATATTTTTCTAACCAAGATTATATATGATGTTGTTACTGGTGAAAATACACTTACTGCCTAGATAAATAATAATCATATCTACAACTTTTGATAAATAATAATCATATCTACAACTTTTGATAAATAATTATCATATCTACAATTTTTGATAAATAATTATCATATCTACAATTTTTGTACATTACCATATGTAGGTAGGTAGGTTGGTCTGTCTGTCCCTCCGTCCATCTGTCCCAAGGGGAAATGATGGGGCTTCTGTAGCAAGACACATAATTGCACATAAACTTACATATACTATCCATAAATAAATGCTAGAAATAAAAATAGACATGAGTTTGGCAGAAATATAAAATAGACATAAGTTAAAGTATAAGAGAGCAGGTATAAAAGTATGTCTTTTTGCATATTTACAAAGCATATAAGACAGATTTGCTGTATTTACATGAAAGCAAGTATTTCACGAAGTAGTATGGGGTAGTCTAAAAGCACAATGAGTATAGACATAACTAGGAGTAGCAGCAGTATTTGCAGGGTACAGTACACAATGCGAGTTATGCTATATTGCACAATGTGTATTAAAAAGAGAGGAGATATAGTGATGTGAATTTAGCACCGTTCAGGCAGGAGACCGTCTCTGCAGTAACGAGACTTGTACTTTTCCAAACTACTACATTCCAGTCACATTTTAAAGCATATACTCATAGACTGTGATGAATATAAACAGATAAAAATACCATATCAACCATTTACATATTACTGCAAGCTGATGACTCATGAATGATTTTCCGCTTCTTGGAAATTGAAACCTAAAGGTGCACATAGGTGTGGTGTGGCCTTTTTAAAGGGGCGGAGAGCCAGATATCATGACTGTAGAGATCAACGGACTGTCTACATTCGGTTCTTCATTATTGTGAGGACTAAAAGATTCCCTTGTTGTCATTTGGAAATACAAGTTCATTGTTAAGTGTCTTCATTCAGGACATACATGTTCTAAGTTTTCTGTACACTTATCAGCTGAAGAGATCGACTGAATGATGTCTTTTTTTTCAGCAAATCAGCAAATGCAAAATAACAACGCCAGAAGGAGGTGAGTTAAAGATTTGTGTCATATATGATTCTTACTACATACATTATGAAATGTGTCCTAAATGAATAACTCTAACTTGATTTGCTAATGTTATGCTATTTTTCAGGACTATTATCTGAATGTAATGTTTGATATAGTTGTCATGTAGCATTTAATCTAACTATAAAGAAAAAAACATAACTCCAGTTTGCAAAAAGACCTTTTTAACATTGGGATTATTGATTCTGTTGCCTAAACATGCTCCAGGAGATACAGTTCAGTTAAAAAATATTTTTACAAAGATTGTTGGTTCTCTTTTCTATCATGGGATGGTTGGAAGAGTGCAATCTGTCTAATCTTGCTTCGTTTTTCAGGAAACCCCCAACAAGTTACATTAGAAATCGTGAAAATAACAGAGAAAGCTTGAAAACATGTGGTATGTTGCTAATCCAAACAATGATGACGAGAATTGCAAGAGAAGGACAAGGAAGCAAGAGACTCTGTATGTACATGGGCGAGGTAAGAGAGACATTCATTATTCAAGGACTTTTGGTGAACAATTGATGTAGAAGTACTGGTAGAATGCACCTGTGAGGAAGTATAAAATGAACAGTTCATTTCAAAATACTCAAACATAGGTTATTTAGTGCTACTTGGCAATCACATGTTCACAGTAGTTTAACAATGGAACTCAATGCAACCCTATTGACTCTAAGAGGTCCTTGTACATTCACATTCATGAATTTACAGCAGACCTATTATATGACAGTATTTCACAACTGAGTATCAGTTGTGTAATCCAGAGCTGCATGGCTATATATACAACCCTATTTACAAAAAAGTTGGGACGCTATGCATTGGGACGCTATGCAAAATATAAATAAAAACAAAATGCAATAATGTGCAAATCATTTCAGCCCTATATTTTAATTAAAAATAGTACCAAGACAACATATCAAATGTTGAAATAGTTTTTTGTTTTTGAAAGTTTTTTGAAAAATATTTGCCCATTTTGAATTTGATGCCAACAACACGTTCCAAAAAAGTTGGGACGGCTGGTAAAGTTGTGTAATGCTATTTATATATATATATATATATATATATATATATATATATATATATATATATATATATATATATATATATTTTTTTTTACTAAATGTTTATCTGTACATGGAATAAATGTTTTACAGACTTTTTTTCCTGGGATACATCCATGAGCACCACTTGAATCCCATAGCATGTTTTTTTTTTCCATGTTCAGTAAACTGTGAGCTGCAACTGTTTAGGTTTAACTGAAACGTTTATCTGGGTGTCTCCAATGTATTTCCTCCAGATGCTTCACAGCATTTTCTTCCTGGGATACATTCATCAAGACCGCTTGACTCCTGATGACTTTTTCGAAATTTGCACCTCCCAGCAAGACATGTGTAACATGTTTCCCGAGCCATTTAGGAAGTACAACAGTCACCTGCCAACTCGCACACCCTTTTCTATTCTGCTTGACATGGTAAGTGCAAAGGTTAAACTTCTAAACAGGCCTAATCAAATGTAAATTCATGTAAAATAAATTTTCAATTAAAAAATGTGAGCACTAGCATTAAAGTCTGTGAACTTGTACATGCAGATGCAAATGTAAAGCTGCCTGTTAAAGGACCATGCAGTCCCTGCAGGAGTTTGATTCTGCGGCATATGTGGCTATATTTGCATATATTTATTTATTTATTTTAGGGTGGCTGCAATGAAGCTGTAGAAATTCCTAATAATATGACTGTGATCCTGATGTACATCTTCAACTTCTTTTGAATGTAGCTTAGTTAGTTACAGATGAAAACAAGGGAGAGACAATCCTGAAAGTAAATGCACCACTGAGAAACTAAAACATACATTACGTACTTTAATTCTAAAAAAAAAAAAGTTAACACTTTTAAATTCTCAAATAGAATGTTTTTGGCACCTCATACTGAAATTATGTAATGAAACTACTTGTACACTTACTTTGGTAGAACATCCAGTAGCCTGTGTGACTCTGAAAAGACACCTATCTATAAGATAACTACAAATAATTAGCTTAATATTTTCTTAGCGTTAAAATTCAGATTATTCAGACATAATATTTATATATTTAACATTTATGACAACCCTGTTTCCAAAAAAGTTGGGACGCTGTGCAAAATGTAAATCAAACTGAATGCAATGATGTGCAAGTCGTTTAAACCCTATATTTCATTGAAAATATTACAAAGACAACATATCAAATGTTGAAATTTTTTTGTTTTTTGAAAAATATATGCCCATTTTGAATTTGATGCCAACAACACGTTCCAAAAATGTTGGGACAGAGGCAACAAAAGACTAGTAAAGTTGTGTAATGCTAAAAGAAACACCGGGTGGAACATCTCACAACTAATTAGGTTAATTGGCAACAGGTCATTAACATGATTGGCTGTAAGAAAGAGAATTTTAGAGAGGCTGAGTCTTTCAGAAGTGAAGATGAGGAGGGGTTCACCACTCTGTAAAAGACTGTGTGGGCAAATAGTGCAACAATTTAAGAATAACATTTCTCATTGTAAAATAGCAAAGAATTTGTGGATTTGATCATCTATGGTACATAATAACATTAAAAGATTCAGAGAATCCTTGAGAAATCTCTGCATGCAAGGGCCAAGGCCAAAAACAAATATTGGATTGCTATGATCTTTGGGCCCTCAGGTGGCACTACATTAAAAACAGATATGATTCTGTAGTGGAAATCACAGTTCTTTATTGCATTTACAAATCGCTGTTGTCAGAAGAAAACCTCCAAAATGGTAGCTTTACAGGAAAAGGAAAAACATACTTTACTTTTAATGTAACTCAATGGAACCAGACTTTTTTCAGAGTAATTTTAAGCTGGTTCATTTAGTATATTCATCATGAAATTAACACACAATGTAAAAGGCAACAGGCATTTTCAAATTATGTCAAAAACTCAATAACGACAAAAATGGAGATACAAGGTTTTCTTCCAATAACAGCGAAATGCAAGTTAAAACTCTACCTTGCAAAGAAGAAACCACATATAAACAGGATCCAGAAATCCCGCCACCTTCTCTGGACCCAAACTCATTTAAAATGGACTGAGGTGAAGTGGGAAAAGTCTCCTGTGGTCCGATGAATCAAATTTGGACATTTTTTTTTTTTTGGAAATCATGGACACTGCATCCTCCGGACTAAAGAGGAGAGGGACTATCCAGATTGTTATCAGCACACAGTTCAAAAGCCAGTATTCATGATGGTATAGGGGTGCATCAGTGCACATGGAATGCGTGACTTATACATCTGTGAAGGCACCATTAACGCTGGACGATATATGCAGGTTTTGGAGCAACACATGCTGTCATCCAGACAACGTATTTTTCAGGAAATGCCTAGATTATTTCAGCAAGACAATGACAAACCACATTGTGCACGTATTAAAACAGCATGGGTCTGTAGTATCCAGGTGCTAAACTGGCCTCCCTGCAGTCCAGACCTGTCACCATTTAAAACATTTAGCACATTATGAAAGGACACCTGAACTGTTGAGCAGCTGAAATCATATATCAGAATAAATGGGAAAACATAACACTTTCAAAACTACAGCAGTTGGTCTTCTCAGTTTCCAAATGCTTACAGAGTGTTGTTAAATGAAGAGGTGATGTAACACTGTGGTAAACATGGCCCTGTAACAACTTTTTTGAAATGTGTTGCTGGCATCAAATTCAAAATGGGCGTATTATTTTCAAAGAACAGTTAAATTTCTAATTTTCAACATCTGATATGTTGTCTTTGTACTACTTTCAATTAAATACTGGGTTTAAACGATTTACACATCATTGCATTCTGTTTTTATTTTCATTTTGCACAGTGTCCCAATATGTTTACTTACAGCCCCTCTTGTTAAAGAATGGCATTAAGGTTTTTCAGGTTGTCCCTTAAAATCACAGAATGCTGCCTTGTAAATTCTAAGCATTTGATCAGAATCAGAATTTCTATATTTTGACAGGCTCATGCCCAGGCAGACCTCAGAGGGGGCTTGAGCCCCTGTCCTTTTGTCCTCACACTTTACAAGGGCCCTCTTGGCCAGCATGTATAATAATTGTGTTTTATACAGCCATTTTAAAGGCACGTCTCAGCAAGGTGAAAAATAGAGCTAGTGGGTTGGTGAGATTTCACCTTAGTAAATTAACCTTTCATGGAAGCAGCCATCACCACAATGATAAATATCCAATAAAGAGAGATAAATATCTCTCTTTAAGAAAGTGCCACATTGTATAACATGGATATTCTGAACATTAGCCAAAAAATGTTGACAGTGAGGCTGCTTAAATAGAGTTCTCACTCACTAGTTCGTTGTAAACAGTATCGTGGGTAACATTACAGGTTAGTATGTGGGAGCTTGTGGTTTGAATACCTGCATTGGCAATGACTGTAATGATTAGGGTTTGTAGGCAGGCTAAGTAGCTATATTAATGCAAATCCAATACTCATAGTCAACATACACAGGGGTTAACAGGCATGCAGGCAGGCATGCACATAAGGCAGATCCATTTTCCAAAAGCCTGTAAACAAAGCCAGGGTCAAACACAGTGAAACAGTCCAAAGAAGCACAGCACAACACAGAGATTTTGCAAACAAGCAGGCCAACCAAAGGGAGAGTAAATAATGGGCCAGTAAATAATAAATAGTTTATAAACTACATCTACAGGTGCATGTAGTGATGGAGGTGTGGAGCCAGGGAGGAGCAAGAGCTAAATTGAGCCATTCCAGACAGGGCTGAGCCAAAGAGTCTCCTTCAGGGAGACCTTGTGACAATTTTAGGCTTTGAGAGAACTATAAACATTACATGTAGTTTTCTCTGAAACATGATAACTGTCTTGCTTGCCCTTTTTTCCTTGAGCCCCTGCCCCCCAAGTACAGGTCTGCTTTTTAATATGCTTTGTGAATACTTTATTTGTTTGTTTCTTAGATGGAGATACTGTATTCCACTAAAAGACTCAAAGAGGAACTTCTGCACCTGCTAAAGGAAATGAAATTCCCAAACCCTCTTCACAAACCAGGCAGTAAACAAGAGCAGTATTACACATTAGAGTCAACAGTAATCTGTGAGTGTTCAGACTCAGACTCACAGAAATATTATGGAGCGTCTCTTTGCTGCAGGAAAGGAGCTGCGAAGGTAATTCTGATTGATCTGTCGTGTCTCAAAACATGGCACAAGTTTATCTCTCACGCTGTCATGTCATTTTCTTCTGGAGCTGGTGACAGTATAATGTTCCCAGAGTCACTGAGATGCCAAGCATATGTAAGAAATTGGAAAACAAATGTTTATGAAGAAAGAAAGCCATGTTTGAACTGTAGAGATTTGTTTAATCTACAAGATGCCAACCCAGATAAAGTAGAGTATCCCTTTGGTAACTGTGCTGAGACAGAGTGTCTGAGCAAACTGCTTATTAATAATCAATACATGCGTGAGAATGCAGTGATTAACAATCACACAGAGGAAAATTTAGAGGAACTCAGAAGTTCAACAGAGGCACGCTTGATAAAGCAGCTTGTCAAGGTTGGCATTGAAGTTAGTGATAATAACTTACTCTTCTATGCTCCATTCCAAATCCAAACAGGAGATTGAAGTGTTTTATCTTCTGTTTTAGTGTTTCCAATATCAGTACATGGAATATTACATGGAAAAAAGCTGTCCTGGTAAATGCCATTTACCAATGCAAATTGATAAATAACTGCATCATCAGTACTAATCGAAAGAATGTGATCATGCAGTAATCTGCTCTTCATGTTTATAACACTTTAAAGACTTAAGTATCATTGTGTTTCTTGCACTACTATAAACTGTGGCATTATACTAAACATACCAATTGTCTGTATTGCTCATTAGCTTTTTCCAAGATGTTGCTTAAATTAAGCACATCCATGGTTCAGTATAGCTTTATTTTTAACATGAATGTCTTAATTAATTCCTTAAGCGGGCAGGACCCACCGGCAGGTCCAAAGTTTTACCACACACTTCTATAGTTAACCATGCATGTTGTTTTTTCAAGATGTTGCTTAAATTAAACAAATACAGTCTGTGTCATAAATATGCTGTAAAAAAAATTGGTGCTAGAAACCAAGTTCTAGTCCAGCATTGACTTTCATTTGTAACAGACTTGGTAGTATTTCTAAAATCTGCCCACTATTTCAGTTGCCATATGCTGTTGTTTTCTTTTGACGAGGTACAAAAAAAAACACAGAAGTAAAATAAAATTATATTTTCCTTTAAAATGTTTCCTTTGCATCTGTGAACGACTTACAAAATGATTACAGACGTGATTTGAAATTACACTGACATTTCAGTTCAATTTGAACTGATAGGATGGGGTTGGTCGGGTGTTTCTGGATACCTGCTCCTTTTGCACCAAGCAAATAACTGGTCTGGTCCACTTTAAGCCCACATAATCATCAAAGCCTGGACCATACATAACATAACAGAGAGTGATGTGGGTTTTATTTATCAGTGAATGAAGCAAATTCATTCAGTTTCATTGAGAAAAATGCATTCAGTTTCGCTCTTGGACGTCAAATAGGCCCACTTATATTTTCTGTACATAGAGCTTCTCCTTGAGACAAAGTTTTTAGAAGTACAATTTTTTAATGGAAGTATATGCTGTTTTCAACATTGGTTCATCAGTTATACACTGGAATAAAATGTCAGTATTCTTGTATCTAAAAAACATCAGATTCTATGCTCATTGTACATTTTATCAGCTCCACTTACCATATAGGAGCACTTTATAGTTCTACAATTACAGACTGTAGTCCATCTGCATACTTTGTTAGTCCCCTTTCACTCTGTTATTCAATCAGGGTCAGGACCTCCAAAAGACCACCGACCACACAGAGCAGGTATTATTTGGGTGGTGGATGATTCTCTGCACTGCAGTGACACTGACATGGTGGTTTGTGTTAGTTAGTGTTGCACTGGTACAAGTAGATCAGACACAGCACCTGTGGGGGTCCAGACCATTCAAGAACAGAGTAAAAGGGGGCTAACAAAGTATGCAGAGAAACAGATGGACTACAGTCTGTAATTGTAGAACTACAAAGTGCACCTATATAGTAAGTGGAGCTGATAAAATGGACAATGAGTGTAGAAACACGGAGATGGTTTTAATGTTATGGCTGATAGGTGTGTACTCTTTGGTATAAGTAGAATATACTAGAATATACAACACCATTTCCAAAAAAGTTGGGATGTTGAGAGAAGGTGGCAGCATTTCTTGATCCTGTTTCTATTTGGTTTCTTCTTTGCGTTTTAGAGTTTTAACTTGCATTTGTTGATGCAGCGACAAACTGTTTTCACAGACAGTGGTTTTCAGAAGTGTTTCTGAGCCCATGCAGTGATTTCCACTACAGAATCATGTCTGTTTTTAATGCAGTGCCGCCTGAGGGCGCAAAGATCATGGCCAGCAAATACTGCTTTTTGGCATTGTCCCTTACATACAGAGATTTCTCCAGATTCTCTGAATTTTTTTAATGATATTATGAACTGTAGATGACAAAAAGCAAAAGTTCTTTGCAATTTTACACTGAGAAATGTTATTCTTAAATTGTTGCACTGTTTGATTGTGCAGTCTTTCACAGAGTGGTGAACCCCTCCTCATCTTTACTTCTGAAAGACTCTTTTTATACCCAGTCATGTTACTGACATGTTGTCAATCAACCACCAGGTGTTTTTTTTTAACATTACACAACTTTACCAGCCTTTTGTTGCCCCCGTCCCAACATTTTTGGAACGTGTTGTTGGCATCAAATTCAAAATGGGCAAAATTTCTCAGTTTCAGTATTTGATATGTTGTCTTTGTACTATTTTCAATGAAATATAGAGTTTAAATTATTTGCACATCATTGCATTTTGTTTTTATTTATATTTTGCACAGCGTCCCAACTTTTTTGGAAATGGGGTTGTATTACTAATTATAGAACTGTACGAATATCATCTACCAAAAAATTAAATAGTGAACTGGCCTGTCTCTACCACCTAAATTAGTGCCAGGTCCGCAGTGGAGGAGCTGCCATGTGACACAACCTGGTCTGCATATTTTTCACTGGGCATCTGTAGTAGTTGATGTGAGGTTCTAATGCAAGGGTGGGTAAAAGTAGACTGATGTAGCAAGCTATTCAACTGTGTTCACGCAGGAAAAATAGCACACTGTGCAGCAATCCAGTCCTGTAGAAGACCAAATGCACTTTCCTCAGCCCTGTCATGAAGTGCAGACCCTGTACATTTTGGACAAGTTGTTTCATTGAATAATTTTCACTTCATTACTTAACCCAGTCTACAAACTTCTCAAATGTAATTCTACGCTTCAGGTGGTGGATGTATGAGCAGTGTGTTTTTGCATTTTTTGCAAATCAACCTGTCATCAAATGTAGTTTGGTTTGTATAATGCAAAGAGTTCGTATTGTTCAGTCTAAACAAACTATAGGTAAACAGAGAGAAAGAAAGTGAGAGAGTACTTTTTATTACATACAAACTTGTGCTTTCATAGGTTTCTGCAAATTCCAAAATAACCACGTAAGACCACATTATAGACAATTGACTGAGCTGTGGCTTACTAAAGGCTCTGTGAACACAGCGTTCTATCACCCGTGTAAGGTTACACCTTTAATGACTGGGCGGGGACTGGTTTATGTTTCAGTCCCTCACAACCAAGCTGTTGTTAGGTACCTGACCGGCCTGAGTTTGTTTTGGGTGTGTCATAAAACCTCTACAGTGTGATAAAACGGCTAAAACAAAAGACCAGAGTGGTTTGCTTCACTTTTTAAATGTGCTTTTTTTGTATGTATGTATTAATGTATGTACAACCCCATTGCCAAAAAAGTTGGGGCGCGGGGCAGAATGTAAATAAAAATAGAATGCAATGATATGCAAATCATGTAAACCATATTTTTTTTAAAGGAAAATACTTCATAGACAACATATCAAATGTTGAAACTGTGCTTGCTCATGTAGTCTTTCACAGAGTGGTGAACCCCTCCTCATCTTTACTTTTGAAAGACTCAGCCACTCTGTGGTGCTATTTTATACCCAATAGTGTTACTGATCTGTTGCCAAATAAACACCAGGTGTTTTTTAGCATTACACAACTTTACCAGCCTTTTGTTGACCCCATCCCAACTTTTTTGGAACGTGTTGTTGGCATCAAATTCAAAATGGGCATATATTTTTCAACAAACAATAAAATTTCTCAGTTTTAACATTTGATATGTTGTCTTTGTATTATTTTAAATGAAACATAGGATTTAATTAATTTGCACATTATTGCATTTTGTTTTTATTTACATTTTGCATGGCGTCCCAACTTTTTTGGAAATTGGGTTGTATGTATGTATGTATGTATGCATGTGTGTACACTTTAAATAAGGTTTGTCAGTTCAACCTATAAAAAAAAACCTATAAAATTATAGCTTTGTACTTTTTTTTATTGGGGAAAAGAATGGAACATAAAACTGGCCTATGCAAAAGTTATGGCACATTTTATATTGTACATTTGATTTTTTTCCAGTGTGTTATACTTTTAAGGCTGTTCTCTGTAGAGAATGCTTTAACTTATTTAACTTAGAAAACCAACAAACCATGTAAGTTGACTGCTTTGTAGCAAATGGGAGGAATAAAGGTTCAGTGATTTTATATCTACACTATAAAACTGGTGTAAGTGTACTAGATTTAAGTTAGCCCAGACCAATGATATCAAAATATGAAGGGAAAATGGGTTATTTTAGAAATTAACATATTTGTTTGTTTCAAGCTTTTCGGTTCATGCACCTGCACAGCGAGGAAGTAAAGACAATCTTAACAAAACATAAAGCTTAATGAATGCAATGTCCTAAGTTTCATCCTGACTGCCAGCCTGTCTTGTCTGTCCTGTTTGTCTGGTTCTGACTGGACGGGGGACGTTTTATCTGTCTCATTTCCACATAATCAACATGTTGTTTTGGGTGCATCAAACCATTGTAGTGTTACGAAACTGCTAAGATTAAGATCAGAGTGGCTTACATGATAATTACTTTGCTGGGTTTTCTATTTACATTTATCATTTAAAGATTTATTATTTAAAGATATTATTTAAAGACTTGTTTGCAATATTTCCATTATGATTGTTCATAATGTTATTATTAGTATAGTGATTCTTTTTTAACAAATGTTCATACACATTCTCTAAAAAAATCACTGCATCTATTTATATTATAGCCAAGATAGAAACAAAGGTAACTACATTTTTTATCAGGATTAGCATTGAGACACACACACGCACACACACACTATCTCTCTCTCTCTCTCTCTCTCTCTCTATATATATATATATATATGTATATATACCACTATATATATATATATATATATATATATATACATATATATCGATAAACAGTGTAACAAATGGCTCATCAGCCTAAAAAATTACTTCATGTGCAATTGATTGAACTAGTTTTGTTCACCTCAAAAACTTACTTTGAATTAAACAACTGTTCATTCAAAGTAATTATTTAGTTTGAATAAAACTAGATAATTTACTTGTTACCACATGAAGTAATTTTTTGGGTTGAACTGACAAATCATTTTTTACAGTGTATATATAATTGAACCATAGTTCTTATCTTAGTCCAGTCAAATACTGTTGTGTATCTGAAACAGACTACTATAGAGGAAATGGGCCAAATTACCTCCTAACTGCTGCCATGGAGTGACCAACAACTAAAGACACTGTTTCAGGTAATAGTAGTTACTAAATATAAATATACTACTGAACATAAGCGATCGCAACTTTTTCCGAAAAGGACTAGATCTGTATAACATCTATCTTCTGATGATTCACTGTTTATTCATCATTAAAGGAAGGAGCCTAGGCATGTTTGACTCACAGATTAGTCACGAGTCATGTTTTCCAGTTTTGCAAATGAACCTGTGATCTAATTTAGCCTTGTTGGGACTGTCCGACTCAGAATCTGATGCCAAATGGATGAATCAATGAAGTCTATTCTAAGAGTCAACTCCACACAAAAGTCTCAATTCCGAAAACCAAGACACAGAGAAGGACATCTGGCAAAAATATAGCGTACAATAATAATTATATATTATTCACATATATTATATTCACGTTAGTTAAATTAACTTAGCTGACTGGTGGGGGGTGGGGGGTGGGTAAACTGTACTTGACTCTTCTCTGTCAACTCCTTCGCTTGGGTATATCTCACACCTGAATATCTCACACCTGCAATTAATGAACTGACTTTTGGGTTCAGCTCCCAGCACAACATAATGTACAGAATTCTCACCGTTCGGTCTAAAGTAGGGGTGGCAAACCTTTGTCCAGGAGATCTCGCCCGGAGAGTTCAGATTTACCTCACCTGGCCTTAACCCTTGTGTGGTGTTTATGTTTTTGTTACTCAGTGGTCTGGTGGACCCACCACATTATTGTTTTTAAAATCAATACAACCATAACAATTTATGTAAAAATACCAGAAGTTTACTATATCACATGGGGGCAGCATAGGGTTCTCCTTTAGCAGCTGTGGCCAGTCAGTAGCCTGTCCATGTTGTTCATCCTCACACACACACACACACACACACACACACACACACACACATATATACAAACACATACACACACACACACTGACAGCAGGCCATGTAGGAGAACAGAGCAAAGGGACACAGCACCTCCACACTTTTATTCCCTGCGGGTTCACCCCAACACGTGTAGTATAAATGTATAGGGGGTGAACAGTGTGAAAATGTTATTTTATATGTTCTTCACAGAAAATGAGCAAAGGCCAAGGAACCTGAGGTTGAAATAATAATAAATTACATTATTTTTTCTTTTGGTAAACATTGAAAATGGGTCCCACAGACCTGAACACCACACAAGGGTTAATATTCAGAAGCTGTTACCACTGCTGCACTTTTTTTACATTTTCAGCATGAAATTACGCACCCTAAAGCCTCAAGATTGGTTCTGTAATTAATAACAGTGTCTAATTACTGTAAAGCTAAACCACGTCTGTGCATGAAGGCCAAGATGCCCGATTACCTGCTGTTCCTGCTGAATTCCTGCTGGTGAACCTTGCATCAATTTGTCATCTGTCAAGTTTTACAGAATGTCTACTTTTCATTTTAAAATGTTGTGTTAATAACTAAAGACAACATTATTATATTTAAAATATTGGGACCTCTATCAGTTTATGTCGTACTCATTCCACTTCATTTGAATAACATATGGCAAAAGAAATGTCAATTGTGTTTACTAATTAAGTAGTTATTGTGATTATTTGTGATTATTTTAATTGCATAATGTTGTTATGCCAATTAATTTATTATTATTATTATTATTATTATTATTATTGTTGTTGTTGTTGTTGATGATGCAAAAACAATAATAACAATAAAAAGTTAAAGAGAGTAGTGAATTAAAGAGATCATTATTATTTCATAACCTACACTGACCTGTACTCAGTGATCAAATTGTGTAAAAAGAATTATAAATAAAGGGTTAGAAATACATTTCAATTATGGATGTAATTACAATAGCAAATATAGATATTATCGATGTTAATATGTCAGTTTGATAATAGACATCTTAATAGTGACGTTGTTACAAAGATATTATAGCAATTATATTACATTATTACAAAGAGGATGTAAAGCAGGGGATGGCAAGCAATTTCACAAGGGAGAATATTATTATTATTTTTTTTTGTTTCCTCCTTCATCCCCCTGAAATGGAACTCTGCCTGTATTCTGCACACTAAATAGAAAAGCTGTGCTTCTCTGGATCATTTGGCAAACAGTGTCCTCTGTTGGTAAAGACAGTTTTCACTGATGGAGAAGCTGGTACTGTGGTAAAGAATGGCATACAGACTAATAATAGCCTTGATTTCAGAAGAAACATTAGACAAATAGGTGTACATAAACTTTTTACACCTATAATGTACAATGGATGTTCAAACTTTTGTACATAACTGAAGTCATTTCTTGACTGTCAGAAAGCACGGACACGAGATGGCTGTATTGTTGTGTGAATATAGAGTTGTTATACTGATTTTGTCCGCTTGGGGTCAGCAAGTTGAATGCCCGTTTGTGGCCACAGCAGAAGAAGAAGCAACTAAAACGTCAAAACAAGAACGAAAGTTAAGAGTCTCTCTGTTTTTCAGCTCGGTTCTGTTTGCTGTGGTGGCAAAAACCGGATAACAAACCGAACTGTATCAGCTGGTAATCTGGATTTTGCTATGGTGAGGTTTTGAGCAGAGACTGAGCTCTGAGGATTCACTCTGAATATCAGAGATCAGACATGTAGTCGAGCTCCGCCCAGACGCACTGCGCTCATCCTGCGTGTATAATTCCCCTCGTCACGGTGGGAGAATGTAGACCACCATCACTGTTATCACCGTTCAGGACGCTTCACCATCTCCAAAAGAGCATTTTCACTATTTTCACTCGACTACGAACACCGCTCTACCACCAGTTTTACAAGAACACAAAACGTAAGCAGTTCTTATAACTTTTGGAAGGTTAAGTGAGGAAATGGAGGCTTTGTTGTTCTATGGAGATGGATTTAGTAGTTTAAAAAGAACAGAAATGACCTGGTGTTTCTCTTTCCTTCTTCAGAAAGGTTTTGTGGGGCAGAGCTGTTTGTCATGAGGTGAGCTGCATTTGATATGTTCTTTCTACATCAGAAGGCTGTAGCAGTAGAGCACTGTTTCTGTTGCTTAATGAGAATTACTGTATGTACTGTTATTGATGTCACTTTTTGGGTTTTTTCCATCACCATCTAGCCTGCAAGACCAAATTAAGAAGGATTTCCTTCTTCCTGACCTGAGAAAAGGTAAAATTTGTGAATCTCGGTGCTGCTGAGCTAGCAAACCACAGAGATCTCTGCAATTTGAGGACCATCAGTCTGAATCTTAAATAGACTTAATCTGTGCATTTGTTTGTTTAGATGGTGCAGTGAAATATCTCGAGAAGATCAGCAATGTGGTTACGAAGTATTGCCATAAGCAGATTGAACTAAAAAAGGTGGAAAAATATAAATTCAGGATTGGATCCTTCAAAGACACATCATACAGGGATGAACCTGACCTTTTAGAGGAGTGGGAGCAGTTCTATCTTCCAGATCACATGAAAGTGGAGGTGATCGGGTTTCTAGAGGAGTTCCCGTGTAATGCAGACAGTGCTGAGCTGGTTCTTATGGTGTGTGAGGATGGGAAAGTGTTTGCTTATGAAGATGAGCGGCTGCATCTGGTGGCCAACGATCTGAAAGAGCTCTTTGAGTGCGGAGTCCAGTTTCCAGGCGCCAAGTACTACTACCGTGGCCAAAGCTTTGAAGATATGGTGAGAAGGATTACAGACCAAGACAGAAATGATAATGATTTACATCCTGCTTCATTTTCATGGTCTGTTATTGATGGTGTACATATGATCACATTGCTAACAAACTAGAGAGAACTGATAAATTCTCAATTACGGTCAGGGCTAGAACCAAATGTCTCAATCTGAGTTGACATTATTTTTAGAATGAGTGTTAAAAACCATCAAGGCATTAGTTAGTAAATATTTAATTTGATATTGGGTCAGTTAAACATCTACAGTATTCTGTCCTTATGCATTATACACACATAAAGTGATGTTTACGACAGTATGGATATCAGTATGGATTCTTACCTTCACTGTTTAGACAGATGATGACTGGGATAAGGTGAAAAAATCTGAAGCAGTGATGGCAAGCACCAAAGAACACCAGGATATGCTACAGTGCATGAAGGCGTCCTACTTGGAAAGCTTGGAGATTATCAAACAGAGACAGCAAAGAGAGGTAAATACAACAATGACAGAAGTGTCTATATTTCTGTCAGAAGTTAGATCAGTCTTTACTGTACCAGCATACTTAGTAAAATAAATACAGTTCTTCAACATTTATGGCTTGAATTATGTGTTTTGTTTCAGTATGACTATGGCCTCATCCACAGGGCATGTGTGGTTTTGAATCTTTAGTAACTTTAATATGCCAAAATAGGATGGTCATGCTGGTACCCCTTCAACTACTCATCAGTACATTATTAGTGATGGTATTAGAAAGGATAGAAACTAGAAACTATGTGTAACAAATGAGGCTACAACTTAAAACTGTATTTTCAATATAATGTTATCAAATCAGTAACTAATGATTCACTGTTTAATGTATTTTTTATGTTTCCCTACAGTCGTGCTCCACTGTGCAGGGTCAGAGGCCAGTTGGATCAGTGAAAGTTTAGTAAGCGATCAAGGTGTGGTCCTGTCATGGTCAGATTTCTGTTTGCTTTAAGAAGTAACAACATTGTAGTCTCCAAAGCAAACATATTGAAATACATATTTATTTTGTTCAGTTTTTTAACCTAATCAATATGCATGAACATTTAAGCTCTGGTTCTCCATTGTAAATACTATTTACATATAACGTTTACCATATGAAATCCTGCATCTCGCTGTAATGTTAGGAGGCTCATCAAGTCTTTGATAAGCTTTATTGTGTGTGTATGTGTTGCCTATCTGTGTTACAGTCATTATGGACAAATTTAGTGTAAACCGATAATGAAAAAATAATTATTCTAATGGCTACAATAAAGAAAAAAATCCACATGACTGCATTACGTTTTTATTTGTATTATTTATTTATTTATTTTGATCTTTATGTATATGTCTGTTGCAATTACACCCATGGTTTATATAAGTACAACACAACATTGTTATTTTTATGACTGGTATGTTAACAACATCTCCCAAGTGATTACCCCCTCTACTGCCTTCTCCACCTATCATTAACCAAACACTCAGCTCGGAGACCCTCCCTGATAACGCATTTCATTCAGAAATACATCACAGTACAGAAGGAAAAATGCATTATGGTTTCCAATTCATGTTAGGTTGAATGCCAATTAGTGGTACTGTATATCTCAGCTAGTGCTGGTCACAGAAACTGATAAATTGTCAAGGAGTCACAGTCTCAAGCCGAAACGATTAAAATTAAAACAGAGAAAATATTAAGATTTTCGGAAGTGTCATCTTTCACTTTTCCTCCCACATACAGACGAGTTCATCTCAGTCTCCAGACGCTCTGCCATGCAGGTCCATTTAGCAGTTTTAATGTTTTATCTGCTTGTGTGTTTACTGGCTCAAACAGCTATTGTGTGTACTGGCTCAAACAGCTATTGTGTGTACTGATGCTTTCCTGTGCCTTTAAGCTGACCACTCCTTTTCAGAGAAGTCTAAGTCAGCATAAAACAAAAAGCATCACTTGGCAGCAACTTCGCACTGATGTCTGCAATCTGTGTTTGATATTGTGCTGCAGCTGGATAATACACTATATTGCCAAAAGTATTCACTCACCTATCATTGAATTCAGGTGTTCCAATCACCTCCATGGCCACAGGTGTATAAAACCAAGCACCTAGGCATGCAGACTGCTTCTGCAAACATTTGTGAAAGAATGGGTCGCTCTCAGGAGCTCAGTGAATTCCAGCATGGTACTGTGATGGGATGCCATCTGTGCAACAAGTCCTGTTGTGAAATACTACTAAATATGAAGTACTACTCAATACTAAATATTCCACAGTCAACTGTACTTTAACAAAGTGGAAGCGATTGGGAACGACAGCGAGTCAGCCACTAAGTGGTAGGCCACGTAAAATAACAGAGCCAGGTCAGCGGATGCTGAGGCGCATAGTGCGCAGAGGTCACCAACTTTCTGCAGAGTAAATCGCTACAGACCTCCAAACCACATGTGGCCTTCAGATTAGCTCAAGAACAGCGTAGAGAGCTTCATGGAATGGGTTTCCATGGCCAAGCAGCTGCATCCAAGCCTTACATCACCAAGCGCAATGCAAAGTGTCGAATGCATTGGTGTAAAGCGCCGCCACTGGACTCTAGAAGAATTAGAGCGGAGACTGTGAGCCAGGCCTTCTTGTCTAACATCAGTGTCTGACCTCACAAATGCGCTTATGGAAGAATGGTCAAAAGTTCCCATAAACACACTCCTAAACCTTGTGGAAAGCCTTCCCAGAAGAGTTGAAGCTGTTATAGCTGCAAAGGGTGGGCCAACATCATATTAAACCCTATGGATTAAGAATGGGATGTCATTCAAGTTCATATGCGTGTGAAAGCAGACGAGCGAATACTTTTGGCAATATAGTGTATATATGTAAACTTCTTCAATAGCAGGGTAAAGGAACAAAACGAACAAAGGGAGAAAGGTAAGCCATATTCCTTCAATCTAAGTTCTGGGTATGTTTACTTGCTTATAGAGATCTTTTGAAGACCATGACAGGATGATCGGCTGTAGTTTTGCTGTTACATAACATTCTAAATATGGAGAAGAAGGTGTTGGTCTCTAAGGTATCTATGTGTATGTTCAACAGGGCAAAGAAATACAGGAAAAAATCTGCTTTTGCCCAAAATGCATTTTTCATCTTTAACAAAGAAACAGAGTTGGTTAGTGAATATGACATTGAGGGTGTAGATCTTTTGAATCAGGTATGGAACTGAATCTTTTATATTGCCACTGTCTTGAATCCTAAAGACGCACTGCAGATTTTGTTGAAATATTACCACTGACTGCATTAAGCATGTCAAATTTTTAGATGCCTAATCTATTCTTCTGTACTTTGAGCCAAAATGTTATTTACAAACAACATAAACATTAGCAGAGTTGTCAGTAAATACTTATTGGTGCATTCCAAGCTGAGATTTACAGGGAATAAGATGTCCTTTATTTCCAATTTGTTTTTCCTGATTGTAACTTTATGATTTGCATATCTTTTGCACTATAAATGTGACATAAGGCTGAATGAAGAAGTGTACTATGTAAAAAGTACTATTATCTCATTATAAGCTACACTGGCATGGTTATATGTTTACATTCAACTGGTTTGGTACAATCATAGACTGTTGATTGAGTCTGTGATGTTTATGCTGAGGCTTATGTTATTTATCTTTTCTAAGATGCTCCACAGCATCTTGTTCTTAGGGAATATTAATGCTGCACCATACTACCCAGACGACATCTTTGCAGAAAAGGAAATATATCTTAAAACCATGAAAGATTTCCCACAATCGTTCGACAAATACAGAGAAGATGTGGCTCTGCGGACACCTTTCTCCTACTTCCTCGAATTGGTAAGTAGATCTTCAGATATAACAGCAGCAATAACAAAGACTTAACAACATCACTACCAATAACCTTTTTTTGCTTTTGATCAGTATGATTAATATCTTTTATTGTTTTTTTTTTTCTTTTTTTCCAGATTGTTAGATGTTTCGGTGAAAACAAAGAGCAAGTGAAGGCCAAGCTGTGTGAAAAATTACAGGGTTGTAAAAAATCAGGCCCCTTGATTTCGTCAGTCATATGCATCCGTCAGGTGTCCAATAGGACATACTATGGAGGGTCTCTGACCTGTCCAGGTGAAATAGAGAGAGAGATCATGACTGCTGTGTCCTGCCTGCATGTTTGGCATCCCTATGTTTCAGCTGCTGTTTTGGGTGTGTTTCCTGAAGACACCACTGAGCCCAGGTTTCCAGATGGTACTATAAGACTGCCAGCTTCAGTTGAGTGTAGGGCCTATGACATAGAGAACCTCAGTGTGGTGAAACCTCCCTGTAGGCGCTGCCATGAGCTTTATTCTCTGCCCAATCCCAGAGGTAGAAGGCATTACCCTGGCAACTGTGCTGAAACGGAGGCAATAAGTACACTTCTTAAAAATGAGGAAAGGGTCAAAAAGAATGTGAAGAAGGCAATGAAATCAGCTGAAAGACAAGCAAATAACAACGATTTTTTCTTTCTTCAGTATAAAACTGATGTGCAGTAACATAATGCCTGAATATATACATAAGTGTATATATAAACATATATGATGCCCAATCGCATATATTGCTTTGTTGTCCTGATCAGTATTTATGGTCTTGAGTATTACTGTTCTGTATGTTTATAGTGTGGTGTATTTATTCTGCACTCATTTCACACTGTCATGTATCTGCACTGTATGTAGTCCTTTTTACTATGCTGCTGTTGTGTGTTGCACCATGAGACAACAGCATTTCATTCCAGTGTATCCACGTTATATTGAGGAATGACCACTTGAATAAAAACCACTTGGCCTGATGTCTTCATCTGTTGTTATGCTTCACTTCCACTGTACAAGTTCTGTTTTCTTGTCTATGTAATGTGTTATTTTCTAAATAAACATGAGCTACAGGAAACAGTGCTTCATTTTGGTTGAGTTTTCAAATCCAGCTAGTATTGACTGTCTAATCCATAGTATGTAAGAACAATAGTCAGTTCAGTACCAATTGATGTTGCTTGTGCATATCATTTACATAATAAGAATTCATTCAGGATATGGTGTGTGTTTCTACACACTAATGCTTAGGACCATTATATCAGAAGTCTGAAAAAATCTGACCATGTCTTTTTTTTTGCTTCTCTTCAGTACTCTTTTGTTTGCTGTTCTCTAGTTTCTTATAATCTTCAGTTATTCATTCAATGATCCTCTGATGTAAGACCATCACAGAGCAGACAGGAAACTCACTTGTTTCTTCAATGGTGTGAGAAGTAGGATCTGAGCACTTTGGATTCAGAAGCCTCAGATCTAGACTCAAGGTCCATGATTTCCAAAAAGAATTTCAAATGTTGATTTGCCTGACATGATCAGTCAGGGCTGGAGGTTAGGGAACCAGCCTTGTGACCGGAAGGTCACTGGTTCAATCCCCTCCGCTGACAGCATGTGACTGAAGTGCCCTTGAGCAAGGCACCTAACCCCTAACTGTTCTCCGGGTGCCGGGTGCTGCTCTGGGTAAGTGTGCTCACTGCCCCCTCGTGTGTGTGTTCACCAGTGTGTATGTGGTGTTTCACTGAACGGATGGGTTAAATGCGGTGGTCTAATTCCGATGTGTTCAGACACAGTTGGCTAAAAAAGGTTCATTTCATTTCCCTCAGTCCATTTTAAATGAGCTCAGGCCCAGAGAAGGTCCTGAATCCTGTTCATATATGGTTTCTTTGCATTTTAGAGTTTAAACTAGCATTTGTGAATGCAACGACAAACTGGTTTTCAGAAGTGTTTCTGAGCCCATGCAGTGATTTCCTCTACAGAATCATGTCTGTTTTTAATGCAGTGCCACCTGACGGCCCAAAGATCATGGACGACAAATACTGGTTTTTGGCCTTGTCCCTTGCATACAGAGATTTCTCCAGATTCTCTGAATCTTTTAATTTTATTGTGAACTGAAGATGATGAAAAGCAAAAGTTCTTTGCTATTTTTTGTTTAGAAACCTTATTTTTGAATTGTTGCACTATTTGATCGTGCAGTCTTTCACAGAGTGGTGAACCCCTCCTCAACCACCAGGTGTTTTTTTAGCAATGCACAACTTTACCAGTATTTTGTTGCCCCGTCCCAACTTTTTTGGAATGTGTTATTGGCATCAGATTCAAAATGACCATATATTTTTCAAAAAACAATAACATATCAACACTTGTACTATTTTCAAAGAAATGTATGGTTTGATTATAGATATATAGATAAATATGGGTCATTCTACAGAAATGGCCATTTTTGTGTCCCTAGTGTTTACAGATATATTTCACTTGAAAAACATGTTATGGTTACAATTTATTTACATTTTGAAATAAAACAATACATTATTTTAACAATTACACCTTCTTGAGCCATCAATTTAGCAATATTGGTTTTTAGATCAATTATCTAGAATTCCAAGCACCACAGAAGTGCTCATCCTCACAGTCATGTGTAAAGGACGAGTGCCATATTTTGAGGTAAAAACCCAGTTTTTTTTGAAATTTTAACTGCAATAATCTATACATGACTGTGAAATATATGAATTGAATGACATCAAGAATACAAATGCCAAATAAATATTATAAAATATATAATGAAATTTGTTGTCCCCGTGAGTCGTGTCACAAAACAAAAAATCTCTTATTTTGAAATAAAAATCACACTGATGACATCACAACTTCCTTTTACCTATTTTCTGAGGATCTATGAAAGAAGCACATGGTAAGTCCACTGTGTCTTATCAGTTAGCAGAAAATTTCTCATTTAGCTCATGGTTTCCTATAAAGTCACTGGCATGACCTACTTTAGTCTTAGATAATTGTGAAAAATAGAATACAAATGGATTAAATGACATATTTTAGGGGATATTCCAATGGAGATACAAGGTTTTCTTCCGATAACATCGATATATACATACATATATGTATGTATGTATATATATATATATATATATATATATATATATATATATATATATATATATACATTTCGCTGCTTTCGGAACAAAACCTTGTATCTTCAAAATGATAACTTTACAGGAGAAGGAAAAACATACTCTAATTTTAATGTAAGTCAATGGAACCAGACTTTTTTCCCAAGTCATTTTGGGCTTTGTCTTTTCGTAATTAGGCTCAGCACAGTGGCAGCTAATGGACTGGAAGTCAGCCAGTACTGCAGCACTAATGTAACTGTTGCTACAGAGCTCTCCTGTGGAACACTGCACAATTCTGAAACCCAACCCTTCAGCATTAGAGATTCAGCGTCATGCAGTAAGTGCCCTCAACAGCAGTGACTCAGCTAAATGCTGTCTGGAAGCATTAATGGTTCCACTATGATTCATCTTACATGACCTACAGTTTCCATTTCATAAAATGACATAAACCAAATCAGGATAAATTATAAGCAACCAAGTTTAAACTGTCATCATTATTGATCCAGCATCAGCCAACAGCAATACATCACCTAAATGCAATCTTCTCTTTCGCTGTCCTCTCTGCCACAGTCTTCCCCAGCCATCCAGTGCAGAAGGGGGCAGGCGTAATGCTGTCTTCTTCGTCGTCTGCCTGCAAGTTCATTGAAGTGCTATTCCACTTTGTGCCACTTGGCGGCACTCTCCCACTTCTGACATCACTGTGGCATTGCTGTAGAAGATGCAGAGGATGCCATAATTTGTTAAATAATGCTCTCTTATAGCACACAACAAAAAAAAGCTTCCAAAAAGCTGAAATAGTGGGAAGGTCACTTCTAGTCATTAGATTACACTTTATGGTGCATATACAAAGGACATGAATTGAAAAGTGTGAGATCATGCTAGCTAGACAGTCACTACTGGTCTGAATGTGCTTTAGGCTGGACCAGTGTTCAAGGCAACAGAGAACTAATAAGCGATATGTGGAAGTCAAATCACTTCTGCAGTGTGCAAACATAATGTACTGCACTCGTGTATCAGAGAGAAAACCTTTACTAAACACATGACAAATGACCCAAACTAGCAAGAACTTAAGGAGAATGAAAAGGTAAACAATGGACCTGGTCAGTAAACTAAACATCATCAATAATAAGACAAGAACAGCGTTCACGACCACACACAGCAGCACAGTTTATGCAGCAGAATGAACACTGTTCTGTCTAACAAGCTAAATCATTTTAGATAAAGAGCTAAAAATGGACTACCCTTACCCATTTTCACTGTGCAGCTGTTAGCTTTGAGATTCATGCCTAACATGTCTAACCAGGTGGGGAATTTGACTGCTGGTAAGTTCTGATAACAGATGCTTTTTAATTGGTCAATATTCTGTAATTGGATTTTATTCTGTTTTATTTACAATGGATATACACTACAAGGACAAAAGTACTGGAACACGCCTCTTAATCATTGAATTCAGGTGCTTCATTCAGTCCAATTGCCACAGAAGTATAAAATCAAGCAGCTAGCCATGCAGTCTGCCTTTACAAGCATTTGTGAAGGAATGGGTCATTCTAAAGAGCTCACTGAATTCGAGTGTTGCACTGTAATAAGATGCACCATTGCAAGAAGTCAGTTCATGACATTTCTTCCCTTCTAGATCTTCCATGATCAACTGTGAGTGGTATTATTGGAAAGTGGAAGCATTTGGGAACTACAGCAACTCAACCACGAAGTGTCAGACCACGTAAAGTTACAGAGCGGGTTATGTTAAATTTATGTTTTCTTTAACATCTAGGTGTACTTTATTGATCTACTTTTGCTCCAAAATTGATATTTTTTTTTAATGACATCATTTGTTTGAAGGTCAGCAAAATAGCTTTCACTTCACTGCTGAAGAAAAAAATCATAGAAACCATTAAACGTTTCTGTTGGTTTCTGGTGGTGCCCAGTAGTCAGCAATGCTATTGTTGTCCTGATGGGGTTGATAACACAGTGTAAAGGATTCTAATGGCTAAACAGATGTTCTGAGACTGATTCCAGATGGATTTGATCCAGAACTGATCATCAAACTTCAGGACCTGACTTCACTAATGCTCCTGCTTAATACAATCAAATCCTCACAGCAATGTTCCAATATCTAGTATAAAGATTTTCCATAAGAATAGAGGCTGTACATGCAGCAAAAAAGCAACAAATTCCTTATTAATACCCTTATTTTGGAAAAAAAAAAAAGTACAATGTGCAGGTGTGAAAACTTTTGGATAATTGGAGTTGTTATACATCTTTTGTCCGCTTGGGGGCAGCAAGTTTCAAGTGGTCGCAGCAGAAGGAGGAGAAAACTCAAAACAAAAGCGAAAGTGAAGAGTCTCTGTGTTTTCAGCTCGGTTCTGTTTGCTGTGGTGCCAAAAACCGGATAACAAACCGAACTGTATCAGCTGGTAATCTGGAATTGGCTATGGTGAGATTTTGAGCAGAGACTGAGCTCTGAGGATTCACTCTGAATATCAGAGATCAGACATGTAGGCGAGCTCCGCCCAGACGCACTGCGCTCATCCTGCGTATATAATTCCCCTCGTCACGGTGGGGGGATATAGACCACCATCACTGTTGTCAGCGTAAGTGTTCACACCGCTCTACTGCCAGTTTTACAAGAGCACAAAACGTAAGCAGCTCTTATAACCGTTAATCAGCAGTTTGGAAGGTTAAGTAAGATAATGGAGGCATAGTTATATTTTATTAAACAATTATTAATTGTAAAATGTATTAAATAATTATTAAACAGTGTTACAGATTTACTAGTTTAAAAAGAACAGAAATGACCTGGTGTTTTATCTTTTCTTCTTCAGAAAGTTTTTGTGGAGCAGAGCTGTTTGTCATGAGGTGAGCTGCATTTGATATGTTCTTTCTACATCAGAAGGCTGCAGCAGTAGAACACTGTTTCTGTTGCTTAATGAGAATTACTGTATGTACTGTTATTGATGTCATTTTTGGGGTTTTTTCCATCACCATCTAGCCTGCAAGACCAAATTAAGAAGGATTTCCTTCTTCCTGACCTGAGAAAAGGTAAAGTTTGTGAATCTTGGTGCTGCTGAGCTGGCAAACCACAGAGATCTCTGAAATATGAAGACTGTCAATCTGGATATTAAATAGCCTTAATCTGTGCATTTGTTTGTTTAGATGGTGCAGTGAAATATCTCGAGAAGATCAGCAATGTGGTTACGAAATATTGCCATAAGCAGATTGAACTAAAAAAGGTGGAAAAATATAAATTCAGGATTGGACCATTTAAAGGCACATCATACAGAGATGAACCTGACCTTTTAGAGGAGTGGGAGCAGTTCTATCTTCCAGATCACATGAAAATGGAGGTGATCGGGTTTCTGGAGGAGTTCCCGTGTAATGCAGACAGTGCTGAGCTGGTTCATATGGTGTGTGAAGATGGGAGAGTGTTTGCTTATGAAGATGAGCGGCTGCATCTGGTGGCCAACGATCTGAAAGAGCTCTTTGAGCGCGGAGTCCAGTTTCCAGGCGCCAAGTACTACTACCGTGGCCAAAGCTTTGAAGATATGGTGAGAAGGATTACAGACCAAGACAGAAATGATAATGATTTACATACTGCTTCATTTTCATGGTTTGTTATTGATGGTATACATGTGGTCATATTGATAACAAGCTAGAGAAACTTAATAAATCTAAAACAGGGCTACAAGCTAATATCTTAACCTGAGTTGATATAAAGGCAGAAACATAAAGGCATTGGTCAATAAATATTTAATTGATGTTGAATTAATGTTGAGTCAGTTAAACATCTTCAGTAGTCCGTCCACATACATTATACACACATAAACGTAATGTCTAAGATACTATGGATATCTGATGAGTAATGCTTCTTTATGTCACTGTTTAGACAGAAGATGACTGGGAAAAAGTGAAAAAATCTGAAGAAGTGATTGCAAGCACCAGAGAACACCAAGATATGCTTCAGCGCGTGAAGCATTCCTACTTGAGAAACTTGGAGATTATCAAACAGAGACAGCAAGGAGAGGTAAATACAACAATGACCGAGGAAGTTCTCTGTTTCTGACTTGAGAAATAAAAGAAACTCTCAATGTAAAGAATCAGGCAACATCTAAAAAATGTTGTTCCCCAGTTAAATTAGTCTTTACTGTGCCACTGTACTTAGTACAATGAATAAAATTCTTAAACATTTCTGTCCTGAAGGGAGTGTTCTTTTCAGTATGATTATGGCCTCTTTGTGGCTTTGAATCTTTAGTAACTTTAGAGTGCCAGAGTAGGACAGTGATGCTGGTGCACCTAAAGCTGCTGATCACTTGTGTTGCTTTGATGTCAGTCAGGGGATTAGAAAGAATAACTAGAAACTATATGGAAGTCGGACTATTCCTTAAAACAGTGTTTTAATATGATGGTATCATATCAGTTACTAATGGATAGTTGTTTAATGAATTTTTCTATTTTGTTCCTTTTTTATTTCTGTATTTTTCCCTACAGCTGCACCCTGCTGAGATGGAAAGGGATCCGTGTGTACCAGTAACTGTTTTGTGAAAGATGAAGGTGTGGTCCTGACATGGTCTGATTCATGTTTGCTTTAAGAAGTATCAACATTGCAGTCCTCAAAGCAAATAAACACATTTCATTTAATGATGTCTGTTAGCTTAAGCCCTAGTACAGAATGGTAAATTATTATTTACATATACTTTTCTTTGGTTAGAGAGTATATGTGCCATATGAAACCCTACAACTTGCTGTGATGTTCAGAGGCTCATTAAGTCTTTAATTAGCAAAATTGTGTGCATGTCTTGTATATTTGTGTCACAGTCTTTATGGATACATGATGGATAACCATAATGATGAACTGATAATTAAAAGGTAGTAATTCTAACTGCTATGACTACATGGTTCACATAAAAAACAATAAGACAAATAAATGCCACATGACTGCATGATGTGTTTTCATTTTCTATCATTATTTCTTTTTTTGTATTTCTTTCATTTATATTTCTGTCCTAATCACACCTAAACATTTATGCAAGGCCAACACAACACTTCATTTTTGTTACTGCTATGTTAACGATATCTTCTAAATGATTACATCTCTGCACAACAGTGGGTAGGGAGAAATAAAATTCACCAATATTTTCATATTTCACCTCCCACTACCATCGCCTCCGCCAATCATTAACCAAACTCTCCCTAAGAAAACATCTCACTCAGGAATATAGAACAGTACACATAGAAAACTTATGATTTCTAGTTCATGTTAACTGTAAGCTGTGGAAATGATTGTGTAACAGATTAAAATGCTATTAACAACACATGAAAAAGAAAGTTCACTAACACTCACAGTTACAACTTACAACATCAGTTATGCAAGTGATTCATGTTAGGTTGAATGCCAATTATTGGTACTGTATATCTCAGCTATAAAGGGGCTTTTTTTTTTAAATAACAGTAATTTGATGTTTGACTAACATGAGGCAGCCAAGTTCCAAAGAGGTCAAATAGTTGGTGTCTGAATTGCTGGTCACAAAAACTGCTGAAGTGTCACGGAAAACATGCTCCAATTAAAACATCAGTCAAATTACATCAGCAAAGACTAACAGTGTTTTGAATTTAAGGCTGCCATTTGGAAATCAGACTGTCTAAAGAAACATAACCTGGACCATTAAAACATAGAAAATAGATTGTTAGAGGAGTTGTCTTTCATCTCTGTTAGCACTGTGGGCAGCAGAGATTTATAATATAAAATCAGTGAAGTCTACAGACGCTCTGCCATGCAGGTCCATTTAGTCCCTGATGGTAGTTTTAATATTTTATCTGTGCTTGTGTGTTTACTGGCTCAAACAGCTATTGTATATACTGATGCTTTCCAGTATATTTAAAAGTGAAAGAGAAAGTAAATATAGAGCTGACCACTCCTTTTCAGAGAAGTCACAGTCAGCATAAAACGAGCAGCGTCACTTGGCAGCCACTTCACACTGATGTCTGCTTCTGAGATGGCTGAGGTAACACTGCTCTCTTTTCTGCAATCTGTGTTTGATATTGTGCTGCAGCTGGATAATATATATTTAAACTTCTTTAATAGCAGGGACAAAGGAAAAAACTGACAAAAGCAGAGAGGTAAGCCATATTCCTTCAATCAAATTATAGATGTTTACTTGCTTATTGAGATTAGACTATGATGTGGTCACAGGATCATCAGCTACCAACACCTCTGTCCGAACTGGATTTGTTTCTGTTGTGCTGTCACATAATAGATATGTTGTAAAGGGACTCTTAACAGTAGAGAATGCAGCAGCTGGTTTCCCTTCTCCTTTTTGTCTCCTGTGTTTCTAAATATTTTCAACAGGGCAAAGTTGTTACTGACAAAACAAGCTTTCCCCCAAAATGCATTTTTCATCTTCAACAAAGCAACAGAGTTTGTTAGAGAAACTGGCATTCAAGGAAATGATCTTTTGGACCAGGTATGGAACTTCATCTCTCATACTGCCACAATCTTGAAACCTAAAGACACGTTTAGGACTTTGTCAGTATATTACCATTGATTTTCAATATGAGCCAAAATCATATTTGCAAACAGCACAAATATCAACAAATTTGTCGGTAACTACTTATCGTTGTATTCAAAGCTCAGTGAGAATTTATAGGGAATAGGATGCTCTTCCTTTCATTCTTTTGAAAGTTCAGGGATATACACTATATGTCCAAATATAAAGCCCCCAGCATTGGGCTGTGGGACAGTGGAACTTTCTCTCTTAATAGTCTTGATTTCAGGAGAAACATTGAATGAGCAGGTGCCTACAAAATTTTGGACATTTTTTGGCCCTTATTCATCAAAGTTGCATAAAAAGGGAAGACATGACTCAGAGATGAGCCGTGCCCACCCAGAGGAATCATCTGCCTATCCAGTAAAAACGCTATATTTTATTAGTAGTCTTGTATAGTTTCAATTGAGTTTGTATGTTTTGCAAGCTGCATGTTTCTTTTAAGCTACCAGCTCACTTGCTGGCCACTGGTTTAGTCAATAGCCAGCTAACTAGCCAGCACCAGGCTAGCTATAGCTCATTTGTTTCTAGTAACTGGAGTTGGCTTGTTGGGTGGCTCATTAAAAACAGGCACCCTGCAGGCTCCCGAGTGGCACTACTGTCTAAGTGCTGTTGTTAGGAGATTGCAAGTTTTATCCATGGGGATGCTACAGCCATTCATGGCTAGGAGTCCAAGAGAGCACAACTGGCCTTGCTTTCTCTGGTTGGGTTGGATGGCCCCTGCATCATTCAGCACGATGATAGCCAGCTGATGGCAAGCGTGTTCAGCTGCCCAATGACATGGTGGCAGTTGTGTGGCGCTTCAGAGGAAGCCTGTGCTAGCTTTCGCCCTGTTATCATGTGATTCTGGGAGTCCTAACTAGTAGGTGGGAATTGGATATGACTAAACTGGAGAAAAAAACAAGCACCCTCAACCATGGTGCTTGCATTAGTGCAAGATTCAGACACGCCATCTTCCAGCTCTGCCGTCTCTGCTGCTGACATGAAAATTAGTAGTTATCCTAGGCGCCCATTTGAACAAATTGTGAGAAGCTTTAGTACAGGCTGGTACCAGTTTCGACTATGGCTCTGTCCCACATGATGCTTGTTTTTGCATTTCCGGATGAGGACATATTCACAAAACCTGTATACACTAATCAGAAGAGAGCGCTTGAACGAGACGGTGGTTTCCTTAAACATGCCTCTAGAGCGATGTCTGCATGGCAAGGAATACCAGCATCACACAGAGACAGGTGAAAGTATCGTGCAGCTAGTGGGTACAAACCCAGATAGAAAATAATATGTACTCTGTTATGCAAAGTCAGTCAGTTTTTCACTGTGAAAGAGCTAGTAATCATGTTCCAGCCTCCCAGTACCTCATTTACATATTATTTACATGAAACACTCCCTAATTCATGCAGATGTTTCGGTAGGGAGCCAATATAATGATAGCATTCAGCAGCTCATTAGCCAATGGCTGTGCTCATAGGTGGAGCTTGAGGTTGAGCAGTGACTTACTGACCCCCTTACTGACCAAACTTTAAAGTGTTAATATTATGGCGACTAGAAAGAATAAAATTAGAAATATAGTTACGTCTTTGTTTTTTAAGACAGTAGAATGATGTGATTCTGTAGTGTGATTATTTTCCTATTTTTAACAGATTTAAACACTGTATTATTGCAGATAAGATGGTTTCTGGACTAGCTGTGTTTTTTGGCCTGTATCAGGAGTATAAAACAAAAGCACACTGTAATACATCTTTAAATTGAACAACAGTTATGTCATTTGTTTATACCAATGTGCATGTAAAATAAGTACATGTACTTTTGTACTGCATTGCCACATTTTTAGTATTACTGTTTTTTTTTGTTTTTATTCTTATTATTATTGGTATTTTGGTATTATAGATCATATTGATAATAGTTTTGGGTTGCTAACTGCAAATCAAAAAACTTATTAAGGTTGTCAAATGTTTACGCTCAAATTTACATGCATTCCTACCAGATATGAGTAGGATTGTATGGATATGCCAAAGATGAAATTGATGAATAACATAACTGTCAGAAATTGGTGTGCAGATTTGACTGTGCTCAACTTTGATGAATAAGGGCCGCTAAATCTACTTTATTTTAAAAAGAGCAACCGTATCATCTAAGTTTAGCACATCTATTGCACTATAAATGTGACATAAGGCACTGCTGAATTAAGTAGTCAAGTACTTTTATCTCATTTTTTATATTCACATTTAACTGGTTTGGTACTATTACAGATAAATGGCTGTTGATTCAGTCTCTGGTGTTTTTGCTCAGGCTTATGTTGTTTATTTTTTCTAAGATGCTCCACAGCATCTTGTTCTTAGGGAACATTCATGCTGCAAGGTACCCCCCAGAGGTCATCTTTGCGGACGAGGACATATATGATAAAAGCATGTGTGCTTTCCCTACACCATTCACCAGATACAGAGAAGATGTACCTCAGCGGACACCTTTCTCTTACTTTCTGGAATTGGTGAGTGAAATCTTCCGAAACCTTAGAATGTAACAGCAGAAATAATAAAAGCTTCACAACCTCATTACCAATAAATGATTTATTCCTAACTTTGGCATTAGTATATTTTTACTGTTTCCACATTTTCTGTTCTTTTTTCTAGATTGTAAGATACTGCGGTGAACACGAAGAAGAAGTGAAAGCTATACTTCGTGAAATATTGAGGGGATGTAAAAAGTCCGACATTCAATACCCCTTGATTTCATCTGTCATTTCCATCTGTCAAGTGTCCAATAAGAGGTACTATGGGGGGTCTCTGACCTGTCCAGGTGAAATAGAGAGAGAGATCATGACTGCTGTGTCCTGCCTGCATGTTTGGCATCCCTATGTTTCATCCGCTGTTTTGGGTGTGTTTCCTGAAGACACAACTGAGCCCAGGTTTCCAGATGGTGCCATAACACTGCCAGATTCAGTTGTGTGTAGGGCCTTTGACATAGAGAACCTCAGCGAGGTGAAACCTCCTTGTGAGCGCTGCCATGAGCTTTATTCTCTTCCCAATCACACAAATAACAGAAATAACCCTGGCAACTGTGCTGAAACAGAGGCAATAAGTAACCTCCTTGTAAATGAGGAAGGGGTCACCGACGAGACTCAAATGAAACAAGTTATTGTTGCAAGAGATGAGGTTGAGAAGAGAATGAGTGCCCATTTCAACATTAAAATGAATGACAGGATGTCAGGAAGGTCACCGGAAAATCAAGACAGTTATGACATCAAAAGAAAATATGTTTATAACTCCAAGGCAAGCTCATGTTAGAATATTCCATAGTTGATTGATTTGAAATATCTCAGTAAGGAAAGAAATGTAAGATGCCCTTAATCAGCTTCAGGACAAGTAAATAACAGTTCTTACGACACAAAATGCCTGCATAGATATCAAATGTATTTTTGTTCTGTGTGAAGCTGTACAGAATAAAAATAATAAATCATTCTTGTATGCTCATTTGCATGTTTATTTCCTTGAAAAATCAGTCTCTTACTTGTTTTTACATGTAGAAAAATAGGGTGGCACTCAGCACTGATCTGGAAACAGGCAGTGTTCTTTAATTTTACTTGGGTGGAGGCGTGTGTCAGGGACATTTACAGGTCAACTCTGAACAGTATGTTTCAAAACCTGTTATGATGACTGCATTAAAACACTATCAACCATGTCTTAAAAGCCCTGCAAGATGAAATTTCAAAACCAATTTTGTTTCTAGAATTTAGATGTTTACTTTAGTCCTTCAGAGTATTACAGCAATGAGGGACGCTTACTTTCAGCAAAGTCATTCATACTCTAACCTAAACCATCCATCTTGAAACTTAACATGAGTTATGACTGAGATACAATACGCCTATTTTAGATGAAGTCTGGCTCTTTTCCTATCCCAGCAGGAGCCTACGAGACAGTCAGCCTAGATTTCATTTTAACCATCCATTAAAACTTTACAGCTGAATATCACAGATAGTTATTTAGGAAGTACAATGAGCAATAGCACTAAACCTGACCTTCCTGCTTAAGTGGACATTTTCAGCACCACTATGAGTTACAAAGAAAAGGTAACTAATATCATGATTCTCTTTGTTTGAGTGCTCTACACAAGCTCCACACACACTCATTCTACATGCATCATTGCTTCAATGACATGTAAGAGCAGCCACTGATTCCACTGTCCCTAGATATATGCCTTTTTCCTCAACATAAATTTTGCCATTATATATCTCATATGGAGCATGGCATCTCTGTCTTAGTGTAACCCTGAAGTAGAATATAACTTGTACCTTTGGGGATCCATGTGTAGAGCTGTGAAGTAGAGTTTAGTTTCATAAAACATGTTTCAATTAAAGATAAACTGTTCAGGCCTTAAAGGATGCAATTTTTATACAAATATTTCCTTATAACTTCACTTAATCGGCCAAGATTAGTCCACGAGATATACACTATATGGACAAAAGTATTGGGACAACCCTCCTAATACTTAAGTTCAGGTGTGTCAGCCACACACATCACTAACAGAAGGATAAAATTAAGCACATAGGTGCCAAGTGCTAAAGCACACAGTGGCTATCCTCTGTTTAATGATTCACTAAACAGTTCCAAGTTGCCTCTGGAACCAACATCAAAAGCAAAAGAACTGCGCGTAAGGAGCTTCACATAATGGGTTTCCATGGCTGAGCAGCTTCACACAAGCCTAATGCACAAAGCCAAGCGTCAGGAAGGAATGGTGTAAAGCACACTGCCACTGGACTCTGGAGCAGTAGTACAGTGTTCTGTAGAGTGACGAATCACGCTTCTCTATCTGGCAGTCTGATGGACGAGTCTGGGTTTGATGAATGCCAAGAAAACATTAACTGCCTGACTGCCTTGAGCCAACTGTAAAGTTTGGTGGAGGAGGGATCATACTATGGAGTTGTTTTTCAGGGGTTGACCTAGACCCCTTAGTTCCAGTGAAGGGAAATCTTAATGCTTCAGCGTACCAAGACATTTTGGACAATTGTGTGCATCCAACTTTGTGGGAACAGTTTGGTGAAGACCCTTTTCTGTTCCAGCATGACCATCAAACACCTTTGGGATGAACTAGAACAGAGATTGTGAACCAGGCCCTCTCATCCAACATCAGTGTCTGACCTCACAAATGCTCTTCTGGATGAGTGGGGAAAAACTCCCACAGACAAAAATATCTTGTAGAAAGCTTCTCAGAAGAGTGAAAGTTGATATAGCTGCAAATGCGGGACCAACTCCATGTTAATACCTATGGATTTAGAATGGGATATCATAAAAGCTCTTGTAGGTGTAATGTGTAGGTGTCTCAATACTCACACAAACCCACACAAAGACATGGCTGGGCCCCTGAAAAGTTACCATTTTGCTGCTGTCTGTTGTGATCTCCATTTTTGAGTTTTTCAGTTTTTAACATAATTTGAAAATACCCGTTTTCCTTTACATTGTGTGTAAACTGCATGATGAATGGACCAACAGAAATGTCCCAAAATTACTTTGAAAAAAAGATGGTTCCATTGACTTACATTAAAAGTAGAGTATGTTTTTTCCTTCACCTGTAAAGTTCTCATTTTGGAGATATAAGGTTTTGTTCCAACAACAGCGATTTGATAATGTGTTTTGTGTGATCCAATTTGACTGATCAGCAAGATGATGGCTACGACTTTAAAATGCTAATATTAATTAACTTCATTTTTGATATGTGTTTGGGGATATACACATGGGTCATATTAGAATTTCAAAGGTGGGCTGCACCAATTTTTTTACACTGGTGTCAACAGTGTAAGAACAATATTGCTCAGTTAATGTTCACTTTATTTTTTTTAATTCCTGGGTATACACTCTGATCTGCTTTGGCTCCAATACTGATAATGTGTTTTCATATGACACTTGTGTGAAAGCCAGCTTTCACTTTTTGCCTGTGATCAGATTGTTTTCAGAACTATTAACAAGGCTGTTAGGAGCAGCAAATGTGGGTTTATATGCACCAATGCCTAAGACTCAATTTAGCCCACCATATCAGAAGTCTGTACTTATCTGGTCATGTCTTTATGCTTCACAGGTCTTCTTCTTATACAAGGTTTATTTAAAGAGACTGTTAAGAGACAGTGAATGTGGGTTCCTAGGCAACAATGCCTAAGGCCCCAAAAGGCTCACCATGTCAGAAGTCTGAAATAATCTGATCATGTCTTTCTTGCTTCTCTACACTTCACTACTCTTCTGATTGTACTTTTCTATTTTTTGTTATCTCTTCTGTGCAATGTCTTTTTTCAGAACTCCCTTGTGTTACTATGCAAAGTAAAGAATGCAAGGTGAAGTGAAGCCTTCAAAATGAGTAAAAAAAGAAAAATCCACTGAAGAGAAGGATCTGGGGTGGCTTCTGGTTAAGATGCTGTTGTGAGAATAATAACTCAGTTATTCAAAGATCCAGAGATGTCAGACCACCACAGAGTGAAACTACAGGAAAGTCCATTGTTTCTTAAGTGGTGTCAGAAGTAGAATCTGACAACTTTGGACTTTGGACAACTGAGGGACTTTGAGACCCCTGAAAGCCTCAAATCAAAATTGTGGGATGTCTCTGAAAATAAACTTTAATAGCATATTATGGCAATTGGGACTACTGGGAAAACAGAAGCTCAAAGTTACAGTGCTTTATTTTTGTTTATTTTGCCTTTGGCATGTAATTTCTGACTTTGGTGGTCTTAACTAACTTGTAACAGTGGAACAAGCGAGGGGGCAGAATGCAGTTGTGAGTTACATTTATTGCAGTCCAGGTAACAACAGAAGTAAATGTCAAGCAGAGACAAACAATACTGTGGGCTTCATGAGCAAAACAACAGAATAACTAGGAAAGATGAGGAACCAATTAATGAAACCGCTTGTAGTCTGTAATTTGTCTTAAAATGCAGAACAAACAACAAGAGAAATAAGCAGTGCAGGGCAAAGAAAAAGGTGATACAAAAACTTTATATACACAATGAATACTGACTAGAAATACCTGGGGTAATGATAAGTGGGAGGAATTAAAACATAGACAGAGACAAGAACTGGAACATGAATGCTGCATGTGGACTGGGGACTGGACATGGACTTGGGACAGGACATAGGCCAATGACAGGAGGTAGCTGGGGACAGAAGTGGGACCACAGCCCTGGGGCATGAACCATTGACTGTGTGTGGTTTTCTGATGTCTTGCTTTCTTGTTTTTCTCTCTTTTGTTCCACCTATCCTTCTACTGTACTAGGTAGAGCTTGGAGTCTTCTGATTGGTTGCAGCACAGGGTGTTCCAATTATACAAAGGCCAGAGGAAAGCAAAATGGTGGTTGGCTGCTTTGGTTGTTGTGTTTGTGCCATCCACCATCCTGCTGACCAGATTAAATACCACACTTCTGACTAGCTTCCCTTAGCCATTACTTGTAATCGTGCATAATGCAACGCAAGTAAGGAGGTGTGCTCTGTTCTGTTGTTTTGCTTTTCCTGGTTTGGTTCAGGGAGACAGGTTAGTAAATTGTAAATTTCTTTGATTCTAGATAGGTTAGTTGGTTTCTAGCTGGTTTTGGGCATTAGCTATCCCCCCAAAACCGTTTCTTAATAAATCATACTATATTGCATCTAATCAATAGATGGCATAACATAAACAGCTTTCCCCCAAATCTTGGCAATTCAAGTCTGTTTGATGAAAGAAATAGATGTTGAAATGTTGCCATCTTATCTGGGTTCATGGTGTCGTGGTCTTGCTTTTTTTATGTGTGACCTCTTTGTTTGAAACCCCTAGACCTATGAGGTTGTAAAATCAGTTGGCCCTAGACTGGGTTGGAACAGCATTAAGGCACTAGAGAGACCAGGCAGCTGGCACCAGAACATCTAGGGACCAGGAACATGAACTGTCTTGGGGACCTGAACTGGTTGAGGGACATTTATTATAAGTACACAGAAGGCCACACAGACACATAGTCTGGGGGGCTGGGCAAACATAAGAGACTGAAACATCATCTGGTCAGGCTTCAGCGGGGGGTGCAGGCTGAATTGAGGTCCCAAGAGCGGATGCAGGTTGAGCGGTGGCAGTGTCAAGCTGGTTGTAATTTTCTGGGTGTAACTTCTGGACTGATGTGCCAACTGGTCATTTTCACTAAGAAACAAAATGTTATTCATATACTATTTTTTCTAAGTTATGGTAACTAAAGTAGGCTAGGTCATTACTAGGTTAAGCACAGCTGGACACGGTGCCAGTGTGGTAGAGTGACTTGGGTTTCATCAGAAAAAAGTATATCAGAGTGGGACAAAGTGCAGCAGCAAGCAAACTTTACCTTTATATGTATGAACATTGTGTGATTTGCTGATAATGCATGCAAAAAAGTAAACATATTTTACTCAGAATGAGTTTAGAAACAGCTGTCGATTTTTTCACTTATGTACGGTTAGAAATGTCATTTTCTTATTTTATTATGTACTTGGTTGCCACC